TGTGTGTGTGTGTGTGTGTGTGTGTGCATCTGTTGGCCAATTCCTAGACTTATTCATATAATTGTACCATCACATCATAGTTGAAACAATACATTTTTTCACAATAATTTCACCATCACCATTACTTAAAGGTTCAGTGTGTAGAATTTAGTGGTGAATTTGCATGTTGCAGCTGAACACTCTTCACCTCATCCTCCCCATTAAAAACCTGTGGTAGCCTTCAATTTTTATGAAAACTCAAAAGGTCTTTAGTTTGTCCAATCTGGACGAATGTAAAAAACATGGCGGCCTCCGTAGAGAGGACCCCCTCCCAGTGTAAATATAAAGTATTTAAATATAAACAGGCAATTCTAGGGTGAAGAAACAACAATTTGTGCAATTTGGGTGAAACACACTAGTGAGAACATTGCTAGGATTGATTTACATTCAATTTCTGCCAATAGACCCATTTCACCTAAATCTTACACACTGGACCTTTAAAACTAATTTCAATTGTTGGTGTTTAATGATATAATGATTCTAATAACAGCATAAAACATTTTTGAAAAACTTTGAAACATTATGGGACAACATCTTTAACCCATCCACTGATTTAGACAAATCAGACCAGGTAGCCGCTCTTTGGATGCTAGAGAGTTTGAGAACTATGATATTTCAAAAAACATCTACAATTAACAATTTTTTTTTAATCGATACATTGAAAGGATCAGATGATGATTAAAGGCTGACAGACAGATGGCTGGTAGTCACTTATATACATGCAAGAATTGGTGTTAAAACTGTGTTTAATTCTCAGCAACCAAACTCTCAATCAACAGTCCCTCTAGTGTGCTATGAATCCCACCTACTTCACAACTAAGACAGCCTGGTGACCTCAGTAACGTCTCTAAACACTGACAGAATAAAATGTGCTATACCTCATAAAAGCCTCGCACCAGGCTCTCCGTCTGCTGAGCCACTCCTCTCTCTATACGCCACTTGACCATTCGCTCGATGTACTCCTTCTTGTTCTTCTCGGACACAGGGATACCAGCCCCGCCCGGCTTCAGCTCTCTCTCTGTAATCTGCAGGATCACAGGCACACATGGAAACATGAGATTCAACTGCAGATTTCTTTTCATTAAGAAATCAAACAATCACTCTTCTACCTGTCCAAAAACCTCCTCATTGACAGTGAAAGTGAGGTCCAGCATATCTTCAATGTCGTTGTCCTTCATCCACTGAAGACTCTGGTGAAACTCCTCGTCCAGGAACTCCAAGTCACTCAGGTCACACGGGCTGCATGAGCACAGACAGATGTTGCACATCTGAGTGTACAGCATTTCTAGTTATAATTATTTAACACAGTATACAGACAGTTTCTGCTTTGTTGACACACATTTCTTTTCTTGACCTTAATTTCTCATTACATGTTTTAGCTGAAATTGAAATGATTTGAAATTGTCTTTATGTCCACAGATTTTCAACACACAGAAAATGTGTGATGAGTAAAATTT